CATGATTTTTTTTGTTGTACCTCCACAGTTAACGGAGGCAGCAAGTTAGTCCTTGGTATCGGAAAGGCTGAGAAACGTTGTTCTATAACATCTGAAATACATATAAACACTTGTTTTTTCAGTATCCCTGTATATTGTATCCTCTACCATGAAATGTTTCTAAATCGGCAATATATGGTAAAATAAATAGTTGAAAACTCTGGCATCAAATTTAAAATACCATGTTGAACAGCACCCTGTAAAAAGTCGTGCACACAGAGTTAACAAAGAAATTTCTGTCTCAATTAGGAAGGAAAACCTAACAGAATAAAATACACAATAAAATAATCCATTAAAATAGATGATCATAAAAGGATACAAAATCAAATCCTTCTACACTACAGCTTCAAACACCTCAAGTGAATACTTTCGACATCAAAATTAGAAACTACGCTTTTCATCCTCCGTTTATGAACAATTAAAAAATAAAACCTATTAGAATTACAAGAAAATGACTCTTTAACAAAGAAATACTTGTGAAAATATATTGTAAAGACACGAAGAAAATAGCCAGATATTAAAATAAAATAAATTAACGAAGATAACTATGAAACGACGTAAAAATACTTTATCACAGTACAACTATGAAACCTACCCTTTAACAAATGAAAAAAAATCCTTTACAATGAATCTCGTATATTAACACTTTGCTATTAAAAGAAAGTTACATCAAACAAAACCCCTTTTGCAGAAATAGCATACAAGTGTGTTTTACATACGATCATAGAATCTTTCATTATTTTTTTTAATTTAAGCACAGAGCTACACAAAGGGCTATCAGTGCTTTGCCCACCACGGGTATCAAAACCCGATTTCTAGCGTTGTAAGTCCACAGACATGTCGCTGTGCCACTGGGGGGCATCTTTCATTAAATTTAATCTAAAGATAAAAATACATATATACACTGAGCTAAACAAAATAAACTCTTCAATACAAAACATGAACCCTATAGAGAGATATATATCTACACTATTTACAAAACAAAAGAAAACTTTTTAGAAGTAAAACACACACACACACACATATATAAACAATTAAAATAAATAAGATCATACTATAATCGTATAAGTAGGAAAAAATTAAAATTTTAACCGAAAGTAGGGATGGTTGCTGCAATAAACAGTAAACAAACAAGTGGAGTAATACTAGTTGGATAGATTTC